GTGTGCATAGAACCTAATGAAAAGTCACCTGTGACATTTCAATGCAGTCAAACAAAAAAGAAAAAAAAAGTTAACAGTGCAATGTGCCAGGATTTACACTTTAGCACTGTGTCCTCCCAGTGCACACCAGTGGCCATGCATTCAGCATGACTGCTGGTGTGAATAGACCCTAAAGGATAAATGTACTTTTATCTAACCTAAGCCCAACAGTTCTTTTAGCCTTCCTTATGTGGACTATACTGCCACAGATACCTCAGATTAATGGGCAATCTGGTATAGGACCTAGAGTCTACACCAGTCCAACAAGTCCCTGTCCTCTTCTGAGTCAGCAGAATAGGATAAGGAGTATAGTTATCTTTTAATTTCTAAAAAAAAGTGTTAGAAAGGATCCCATTTATACTGTAACAATTTCAATATTTAAAATGTCTTTTGCCTTTTTTTAAGCTTTCAAACTGAAGATTTATTTTTATGTTTATATCACAAGCTTTGTTTTACAAATAAACATTTAATACATGACAAAGGATTCCCGGAGCACTGTTGATTTTTTTAATGAGAGATCATATCAGAAGATGTTTCTACTCACATACTCTGGCTGAAAATGGGGAAACATCTAAGTGAAAGGAGGAGGAGAGACAGAGAAGAATAGCTACTCCAACTCATTCACAACTGTGTTTGAATCAAGCTTGAGCTGTAGAGCTTTGTAAACAACAGACACCTGGATATGACATATATATAATACACATACTGTATACAATATTCAATTTTTGACTAAAAACATTTAAAATATTTATTTCTGCCCATAACAAGAAGAGAAAATACAGTAAGTAGAGAAGATTTTCACATGATAGTGTTAGTAAGAATGATTGGAGTTAAAGCCTCTAGTTTTATTTTTATCAATTTTAGTATGATACTAAGGTATCTTCAAAAAAATATGGAACACTAAATGTCCTAAGAAAATGTAAACGACCTGTTTTTTAATAGTAAATGCAACTGGGAAGCTTGATTTCCCCAGGATTCTGATAGACAGTGTAGGAGTTGGTGAGCAGGACTTTTACATCCCTTAGCTCCTGCAGATAACATGCTAGAGTTGCCTTTCTCAACCTTATCACCACAAAGGAACCCTTGAAATAACTTTCTGCCTCACGTAACCTCAGCTAAAAATTACTATTTCTACAATTCATGATACATTAGTGTGATGGTCAATGGGAAGAATGCTCCTTACACTCGTAGTCATTGGGAGGAATTACCCCCTTACAGATAGCTAAAATTACCAATGGTGTCAGTGGGAACTTATCTGAGAGGCAGAAATATCTCATTGCTCAAGGTGATTGTAGTCGTATTAATGCATGTCCCCTTCTTACTACTTAGACCTGCTTACTGTGTACTGCATAGACCTGAAGAAGGGGACATTCCCCGAAAGCTGGTCCTCAAAATTGTATGTTAGTGCAAATAAAAAAAAGTATCACGGACAGTACTCAATTGTTCTCATTGCTCAAGGAAACCCTAGCAATCTCAGGAGGAACCCTAAGATTCAGTGGAACCCTAGTTGAGAAGCCATGTGCTAGAGAGCTATGGGCAGAGCTAGACAAATTTACTGATGGGGCTAACAGAGGATCCAGCACTAAGAAGCTACATTATTAGTAAGGATGACAACACTACAATAATTTACTGCAGGAGGCAAAGCGTTGTCGCCCTATCTAAAGCTAGGTACACATGGGCAGTTTGTCAAAAAGCAGCTGATTTTGGCCTGTGTGTTCAGCTCCTCATCTGTCAGAAGCTGGTCTCACAGCCGGCTTCTGTTGAACGGGCATGATGGAAAACAGGCATCCAGTCAATATTTAATCAGTGAGTCCTGGAGGGGAGGGTGGTCCCCTTGTCAGAGCACAATAGCTCAGCTGGAAGATCACTGCACTAACTTCTGATGTGTTATGACGATCTGTATGTTTGGTGGGTTTTTTTCGTTTAGCTCTCTGGGTTGAACAAAAACAAAACTTCCTGTGTGTACCCAGCATAAGTCCCTATCCAATTATTCCACCAGCAGAATCAACAGGTGTTTACAAAATGCTCCAGATGGTATAAAAAATACTGTTACCAGTTGGTCTGGTTTTATGGCATATTTTTTTTTATAGTTTGAGGACAGTTTTACTTTAATAGCTTGAGAAAAGATTTTCTCTGGTTTAAATATAAAAACAACACAAATTATTACAGTTAAGTAGTAATTTTAAAAATGTTTTTAGATGCATCTAAGTACCTGCAACTGTCCACATACAAGCTTATTATATTCACCCACTGTATCTCCCAGAAGTGAGTCCACCCCTCACATTTTTGTAAATATTTGATTCTATCTTTTCACGTCATAACACTGAAGAAATTACACTTTGCTGCAATGTAAAGTAGTGAGTGTACAGCTTGTATAACAGTGTAAATTATCTGTCCCCTCAAAATAACTCAACACACAGCCATTAATGTCTAAACCGCTGGCAACAAAAGTGAGTACACCCCTAGGTGAAAATGTTTCAAATTGAGCCCAAAGTGTCAATATATTGTGTGGCCACCATTATTTTCCAGCACTGCCTTATCCCTCTTGGGCATGGAGTTCACCAGATTTTCACAGGTTGCCACTAGAGTCCTTTTCCACTCCTCCATGATGACATCACGAAGCTGCTGGATGTTAGAGACCATGTGCTCCTCCACCTTCCGTTTGAGGATGCCCCACAGATGCTCAATAGGGTTTAGGTCTGGAGTCACGCTTGGCCAGTCCATCACCTTTACCCTCAGCTTCTTTAGTAAGGCAGTGGTCGTGTTTGGAGTCGTTATGTTGGAATACCGCCCTGCGGCCCAGTCTCCGAAAGGAGAGGATCATGCTCTGCTTCAGTATGTCATAGTACATGTTGGCATTCATGGTTCCCTCAATGAACTGTAGCCCTCCAGTGCCGTCAGCACTCATGCAGCCCCAGACTATGACACTCCCATCACCATGCTTGACTGTAGGCAAGACACACTTGTCTTTCTACTCCTCACCTGGTTGCCACCAAGCACACTTGACAGCATCTGAACCAAATAGGTTTATCTTGGTCTCATCAGACCACAGGACATGGTTCCAGTAATTGATGTCCTTAGTCTGCTTGTCTTCAGCAAACTGTTTGCGGGCTTTCTTGTGCATCATCTTTATAAGAGGCTTCCTTCTGGGATGACAGCCATGCAGACCAATTTGATGAAGTGTGTGGTCTGAGCACTGACAGGTTGACCCCCCACCCCTTCAATCTCTGCAGTAATGCTGGCAGCACTCATATGTCTATTTCCCAAAGAGTGGAACCTGTCCTGTTAAACCAATGTATGGTCTTGGCCACCGTGCTGCAGCTCAGTTTCAGGGTCTTGACAATCTTCTTCTAGCCTAGGCCATCTTTATGTAGAGCAACAATTCTTTTTTTTCAGATACTCAGAGAGTTCTTTGCCATGAGGTGCCATGTTGAACTTCCAGTGACCAGTATGAGAGAGTGAGAGTGATAACTAGAGATGAGCGAATTATTCAAAAATTAGATTCAGCTGATTCGGCGAATTCGCGGAATAAATTCGATTCGAGTCGAATATATTCGCTGCGAATTTAACATATAAAAAGGGTGTTTCTAGGCTTCAGAGAGCCTTTATATTAGTGCAGAACACTGTACCTTTAATTTAATGCCCTTGGAGTCTGCTGGGGAAGAGAAATAATACTGTCAGTCAGTATGACATGCAGATGAGTGCCGTCGATCTTAGAATCACCACACACTTCACTCATTTGGGCAGTCACGGGGCCAAAACCAGAGTGTAGAGCCACAGTGTGGCGGTGGAGGCAGCAGCAATGGGAGGCCATACAGCACACTATGACAAAATGAAACCCACCAGCAGTGTGAGGAGACCTGAAAGTGGCACATGGCAGAGTGTGGCGATGGAGACAGCAGCAATGGGAGGCCGTACAGGGACCCATGACACACTCTGGACCCTGGCAGCAGCATGAGGAGGCGGTACAGGGGCCCATGACAGATTACGGACCTGGCAGCAGCATGAGGAGTCGGTACAGGGGCCCATGGCAGATTACGGGCCTGGCAGCAGCAATGGGAGGCCCGTAATCTGCCAGCACCCTATGACAAAATGGAACCCACCAGCAGTGTGAGGAGACCTGAAAGTGGCACATGGCAGAGTGTGGCGATGGAGACAGCAGCAATGGGAGGCCGTACAGGGACCCATGACACACTCTGGACCTGGCAGCAGCATGAGGAGTCGGTACGGGGGCCCATGGCAGATTACGGGCCTGGCAGCAGCAATGGGAGGCCCGTAATCTGCCAGCACCCTATGACAAAATGGAACCCACCAGCAGTGTGAGGAGACCTGAAAGTGGCACATGGCAGAGTGTGGCGATGGAGACAGCAGCAATGGGAGGCCGTTACAGGACCCATGACACACTCTGGACCTGGCAGCAGCATGAGGAGTCGGTACGGGGGCCCATGGAAGATTACGGGCCTGGCAGCAGCAATGGGAGGCCCGTAATCTGCCAGCACCCTATGACAAAATGGAACCCACCAGCAGTGTGAGGAGACCTGAAAGTGGCACATGGCAGAGTTGTGGCGATGGCGATAGACAGCAGCAATGGGAGGCCGTACAGGGACCCATGACACACTCTGGACCTGGCAGCAGCATGAGGAGGCGGTACAGGGGCCCATGACAGATTACGGGCCTGGCAGCAGCATGAGGAGTCGGTACGGGGGCCCATGGCAGATTACGGGCCTGGCAGCAGCAATGAGAGGCCGTACAGGGACCCATGACACACTCTGGACCTGGCAGCAGCATGAGGAGGCGGGTACAGGGGCCCATGACAGATTACGGGCCTGGCAGCAGCATGAGGAGTCGGTACGGGGGCTCATGGCATATTACGGGCCTGGCAGCAGCAATGGGAGGCCCGTAATCTGCCAGCACCCTATGACAAAATGGAACCCACCAGCAGTGTGAGGAGACCTGAAAGTGGCACATGGCAGAGTGTGGCGATGGAGACAGCAGCAATGGGAGGCCGTACAGGGACCCATGACACACTCTGGACCTGGCAGCAGCATGAGGAGGCGGTACAGGGGCCCATGACAGATTACGGACCTGGCAGCAGCATGAGGAGTTGGTACGGGGGCCCATGGCAGATTACGGGCCTGGCAGCAGCAATGGGAGGCCCGTAATCTGCCAGCACCCTATGACAAAATGGAACCCACCAGCAGTGTGAGGAGACCTGAAAGTGGCACATGGCAGAGTGTGGCGATGGAGACAGCAGCAATGGGAGGCCGTACAGGGACCCATGACACACTCTGGACCTGGCAGCAGCATGAGGAGTCGGTACGGGGGCCCATGGCAGATTACGGGCCTGGCAGCAGCAATGGGAGGCCCGTAATCTGCCAGCACCCTATGACAAAATGGAACCCACCAGCAGTGTGAGGAGACCTGAAAGTGGCACATGGCAGAGTGTGGCGATGGAAACAGCAGCAATGGGAGGCCGTACAGGGACCCATGACACACTCTGGACCTGGCAGCAGCATGAGGAGTCGGTACGGGGGCCCATGGAAGATTACGGGCCTGGCAGCAGCAATGGGAGGCCCGTAATCTGCCAGCACCCTATGACAAAATGGAACCCACCAGCAGTGTGAGGAGACCTGAAAGTGGCACATGGCAGAGTGTGGCGATGGAGACAGCAGCAATGGGAGGCCATACAGGGACCCATGACACACTCTGGACCTGGCGAGCAGCATGAGGAGGCGGTACAGGGGCCCATGACAGATTACGGGCCTGGCAGCAGCATGAGGAGTCGGTTACGGGGGCCCATGGCAGATTACGGGCCTGGCAGATGACGACGAGGCTGCCAAGTGCGATCAGCCTCATCATCATCAATTAGGGTCTCCGCCTCACTACTAGCCCCCTCGGCTGCGTGTGGGTCAGGAGACAGACCTGTCTCTAGACCGGCTACCGAGCCACTCTCCTCGACAGTACTTCTTCGCCTGGCTGCTGAAGAGGCGGATGTCTCCCCCCGTTCCTGACCGCCCTCTGTTAGCTCTTCCTCACTGTACAGTGGGGCTGAGCCCACAGCATGCGATACTTCGCTTGGTGAGGGAACACCAAAGGACAGGGGCAGGTAGAGGACACGTGATTTCAGTGGGCTTGCTCCCGGGCCATGCCAAACTAACGGTTGTGTCTGACGTACCCACCGACCATTGGCTGTAGGTGTCAGAGGTGACCTGGGAAGAGAGGAAGACGACCGAGCCAACCAATCGATGACGGCAGGGTTGTCGGTGGAGACACGACCGCTGGATGACACCGGGAGCACTGGCCTCTGGCTGCGACTAGTGCTGCCTAGACCCCTTCCTCTGCTGCCACGTCTGCTCGCTCCTGAAACATTGCCTCCTCTGCCACTCCTCTGCGTGTTGTCTGACATACTCTTTAATTCAACGATTCTGTGTCCCTGAGTAACGATTCTGTGTCCCTGAGTAACAATTCTGTGTCCCTAAGTAACGATTCTGTGTCCCTGAGTACCAATTCTGTGTCCCTGAGTAACAATTCTGTGTCCCTGAGTAACGATTCTGTGTCCCTGAGTAACGATTCTGTGTCCCTCAGTAACGATTCTGTGTCCCTGAGTAACAATTCTGTGTCCCTGAGTAACAATTCTGTGAATGTCCCTGAGTAACAATTCTGTGTCCCTGAGTAACAATTCTGTGTCCCTCAGTAACGATTCTGTGTCCCTCAGTAACGATTCTGTGTCCCTGAGTAACAATTCTGTGTCCCTGAGTAACAATTCTGTGTCCTTGAGTAACAATTCTGTGTCCCTCAGTAACAATTCTGTGTCCCTGAGTAACAATTTTGTGTCCCTGAGTAACAATTCTGTGTCTGTCCCTGAGTAACAATTCTGTGTCCCTGAGTAACGATTCTGTGTCCCTCAGTAACAATTCTGTGTCCCTGAGTAACAATTCTGTGTCTGTCCCTGAGTAACAATTCTGTGTCCCTGAGTAACAATTCTGTGTCCCTGAGTAACGATTCTGTGTCCCTCAGTAACAATTCTGTGTCCCTGAGTAACAATTCTGTGTCTGTCCCTGAGTAACAATTCTGTGTCCCTGAGTAACAATTCTGTTTCCCTCAGTAACAATTCTGTGTCCCTCAGTAACGATTCTGTGTCCCTCAGTAACAATTCTGTGTCCCTGAGTAACAATTCTGTGTCCCTGAGTAACAATTCTGTGTCCCTGAGTAACGATTCTGTGTCCCTCAGTAACAATTCTGTGTCCCAGAGTAACAATTCTGTGTCCCTGAGTAACGATTCTGTGTCCCTGAGTAACAATTTCTGTGTCCCTGAGTAACAATTCTGTGTCCCTCAGTAACGATTCTGTGTCCCTCAGTAACGATTCTGTGTCCCTGAGTAACAATTCTGTGTCCCTGAGTAACAATTCTGTGTCCCTCAGTAACACTTCTGTGTCCCTGAGTAACAATTCTGTGTCCCTGAGTAACAATTCTGTGTCTGTCCCTGAGTAACAATTCTGTGTCCCTGAGTTACAATTCTGTGTCCCTGAGTAACAATTCTGTGTCCCTGAGTAACGATTCTGTGTCCCTGAGTAACAATTCTGTGTCCCTGAGTAACAATTCTGTTTCCCTCAGTAACGATTCTGTGTCCCTGAGTAACGATTCTGTGTCCCTGAGTAACGATTCTGTGTCCCAGTAACAATTCTGTGTCCCAGAGTAACGATTCTGTGTCCCTGAGTAACGATTCTGTGTCCCTGAGTAACGATTCTGTGTCCCTGAGTAACGATTCTGTGTCCCTGAGTAACGATTCTGTGTCCCTCAGTAACAATTCTGTGTCCCCTGAGTAACGATTCTGTGTCCCTGAGTAACAATTCTGTGTCCCTGAGTAACGATTCTGTGTCCCTAAGTAACGATTCTGTGTCCCTAAGTAACGATTCTGTGGCCCTAAAGTCTCTTTGGCCCTAACTCTGTCCCTAATACACAGAGGTCTGTCTCTCTTGAATGATTCTGTGTCCCTCAGTAACAATTCTGTGTCCCTGAGTAACAATTCTGTCTGTCCCTGAGTAACGATTGTGTCCCTGAGTAACAATTCTGTGTCCCTGAGTAACAATTCTGTGTCCCTGAGTAACGATTCTGTGTCCCTAAGTAACAATTCTGTGTCCCTAAGTAACGATTCTGTGGCCCTAAAGTCTCTGTGGCCCTAACTCTGTCCCTAATACACAGAGGTCTGTCTCTCTTGAATGACCGGAGGCTAATGGAGAATTCTAAGATGGCCGCAATTTATAGCTCCACCATTACACAGTGCTGGCTGGCTGGCTGCTGATTGGCTAATGCGATCACATGTCATGAATGAATGCATTATGGGTCAGCGCGCCTTGTCTGCGCGCCTTCCCAGAGATCCCCGCTCCGTCGCCACACATGTCGCCGCGAATCAAATTTTTCCTAATCTTCGAAACGAATTCCACTTCGCCATGTTCGATTCACTCATCTCTAGTGATAACACCAAATTTAACACAGCTGCTCCCCATTCACATCTGAGACCTTGTAACACTAACGAGTCACATGACACCAGAGAGGGGAAATGGCTAATTGGGCTCAATTTGGACATTTTCACTTAGGGGTGTACTCACTTTTGTTGCCTGTGGTTTAGACATTAATGGCTGTGTGTGGTGAGTTATTTTGAGGGGACAGCAAAATTACACTGTTATACAAGCTGTACACTCACTACATCACATTGTAGCAAAGTGTAATTTCTTCAGTGTTGTCACATGAAAAGATAGAATCAAATATTTACAAAAATGTGAAGGGTGTACTCACTTCTGTGAAATAGTGTATATATAGCAGCACCCAGACTTAAAGAGACAGTAGAAGCCAATCAAGCTTTGTATTAGTGCACATGAGCTAGCAGAAAGCATGCTGACATGAGCAGAGAGCAGAGTGACTAGAAGTATGTGTCTTCCCCTTTACTTTTGTATTAGTAAACCGGGAGAAGGGGAGTTTGGTCTGCAGTTCCTCTGCAGTGTGGCTGCACAGGAAGTTCCATACCTATTGTGCTGTCTGGCAGGTGTGCCTGGATTACAGAACTGGCTGCAGAGAATTCCAAATTCTTTTAACAAGTAAAACAATTTCCATATTAGTAGTTCAAAATTTAGCTGTCTGCCTGGAATTCAGCTTTAACTATAAAAAAAAAGTCTGACTTCATGAATTAAACCAAAACATAAACTCCACATTAACAGTTTTGCTGTAATAAATTAATCAAGTTTACAAGTTGAAAACCATCATTTACAAGGCAAAAGTTTAATATTCAGTTAATAAGTGCAACATAAAACATAGACTAAAAGCATTAATAACTTAAAACAAATTCAATGTACATTTGTTTATATGTAAGATAGCTGCGGGCTGTGTTTCAAACAGAATGTTTTACTAATTTGATTAAATTTTGACGTATCCTAAGCATGTAAACTGCAATGTAACTCCTCAATATGCACAACCTGAATGGAAAGGTTTTATAAGGTGGAGCATTGCTTTAAACTTATATCTGATAGTTTTTGTGTGTTACATAAATTACAGGTTAATTAAACTTTCCAAGCACCACTCAGTAAATAAAAGTATATGTAAGTATTTATAGAAATAAAAGTTATGGCAAATGTCCAGATTGTTTTTTCATTGATTTACAAGGACATTTTGGCAGTGAAAAATCTCTCTAGCCCAAGGCCAAGGTGAGCTCATACTTACTTCATTCATTAATGTGTTTTATAAACATGGCATTGAACAATACTTATATTGTCAGATAATATGCGAATAAGAACAATTAACTCAATGTCAAAAGCTGCTGGCTGTGTGACAAAAATTTAATCTATGCCTGTGTAACAGAAAACAGTTATGTATGTAGATGAAAGCATAATTTGATATTGTGGACCCTGTTTATGTAAATTGGCTATATATATATATATATATATATATTATAATTAATATTAATGTTAATATTATCTTTATTAGCCATTATAACAGCTCATTTCTGTGCACTCCTTAGTCCCCTTAGTTTCCCTTTTTAAACTTGAGTATTTTGCATAATTTCTGGTTCAAGCCCCCCCACTTGCCTGCACTGTATCTACAGTTAGACTGTACGTGAAGGCTATTAAGGTACAATACAAAAAAAAGATAGCAGTTGAGCGTAACGTAGCCCAGAAATCAGGAAGTCAGATAACCTTTTCTGTCTAGAAAGAGAGTTTATTGTTTTAATGTTTTAATGTTGACAAAAGTTTCTTTTTGTTTTCTGTTTAATGAGTATTAATATTAAAAAAAAAAATACATTAGTCTGTGTAGTTTGTAAAAAAAAAAAAAAACCTGGTGATAGGGAGGTTGCACGGGCCCCTGCAACATGGGGGGGGGGGTCTTGGCAGTGTAAAGCGCGTGTGTGTGGGGGAGAAGTTAGGAGTATACAGTGGAGGGGTAGCAGTGTGCAGCATACAGTTGGGGGGGGGGGGGTATCAGCAGTGAGCAGCATGTAATGTAGTAACCAGAGTAGAAGCATTATTGATAAAGGGAATTGCTGCAGGAGTCACTCACTATCAGGGGCGGACTGACAACTCATGGGGCCCCCGGGCAATAGGGGATCATGGGGCCCCTGTGTCCTTGCCCAAACTCAAAAAAGCCTATGAAAAAGGTACCAGGGGCATCACGTGGGGCCCCCTACTGACCCCGGGCCCTCGGGCAGTGCCCGAGTTTTCAAATGGTCAGTCCGCCCCTGCTCACTATATGCCTGGGGACGAAGACTCCCAGGGCCGCCATCTATGCTCCTCCTCTCAGTTCTCTACCATTTTCAACCAGAGTGGCCACCTGTGCATGTAAGAGCAGTTGGCCTCACCCCACCCAGCATCTCAGTCAGCCCATGGAGAAGCTTCCAGTTGGGAGAGAGACCATGGGCTGCCATCCAGGGGCTTCTACATTGAGCTGAAAGCTACACTGAACCGCTCCTAGGGGAGAAAGCCAGAGTGTAAAGTCTGGAGTGTTCACAGAACCCTAAAAGGACAAATAATTTTTGCTTGTTTTGAAGAACCCGTTAGGGGACAACCTGTTAGGAACTGACCTAGGTTTAGTTGGTGGCTCAGATTAGCTGCTTTTTTTTAATCTATAGACTTACTTTACAAAGCCCTCCTGCATTGAAACCTGTGTTTGCTACCTTGCTGAATAAAGGTAGAGAACAAACCTGCTGGGGCTGTTCCTGTGTGTCCCTGTCTAGTACATGTTTTATCACTGCCATCACCAGTTGAGCCTGCCCCGCTTACAGGAGACAAACCCCATAGTAACATGATTTTTCCTATGTGCCATCATCAGAATAAAATAATATTATGGCCATGATTCTTACTTATGTTATGCTTCAGATGTTGTACAAAGGGAAAGGTGGTACCCATAAAACATCCCATGCTTCACTTCATACGATACTGGATCTGTCCTGTTTGAAAACTCTGAAATAATGTTTACACTGATTTAACAGCTGGACCTGTCGTGAATCTGAACATGTCAGAGACTGTCACGTATGGAGCCAGAGAAAATAACAGGAATGGATCATATTGCTCGCTCAACAAATTGTAATAGCAGTGTTACTTTTAGCACCTTTATCCAGACTGAATGTGCACAGTGACTTTCCAGTTACAATTTATTTGATTTTGCTGTTATACTTGATGGCGTAAGGCTGTAAGTTATTTTTCTACTAATAGAAAAAGTAAGCCTGGACATTGATTCTGACTTTTTCCTTCAGATCTGAAGAAAAATATATATTTATTAAATGATAAATGTGATTTGGTCACACATGCTGTTATGACATAGTGCTATAAAGATATATGAAACAAAATAGGAAGCGGGTTTGCTTTTTATGTTCATGCTGCTGTTTCTGAATAGCCAACAGTGAAAAATGAGAATTTTGTTGTGAATGCAGCTTAGCAAGCGGCATGGAGCCCGGAGAGCCCCACACTGCTTACAGTCCAGACACTGGAAATTATTGCAGCATTTAAAACTGCAACACTGAATTCACCATTACAGGGTTCACTAAAAAAAGATAATGTTTTATTTTTCAAAAAATTATTTTAAATTTGTATTTTATTTTTTTATATTATCATTATTTATTTATTTAAATTTTTTTTAACATACTGTCACCCTAGTAGTACAGTGTCACCATAGTGACACTGTACTACTTGTGGGGGGTGATGAAGAAATTTTTTTTTTTTTTACACTGATTGGTTTTACACCCATAAAGGCTGTAAAAGCAATCATTTCTCTTTCTCTCTGGCTGCATTCTTGCAGCCAATGAGAAATACTGTGAGAGCTGTGATTGGTCACAGCTTGTCAAATGGTACAAGGCTGTTGTGAATAGCCTTGTACCATGTGACCTCTGTGACAGGGGTGTATTTACCACAAGGCAAACAAGGCATTTGCCTAGGATGGCATTGTTCAGGGGGGGCAGAACTGCCCCTCAGAAGAAGGGTTGGAAGAAGGGACACATGAGGACCTGGTGGGTTCCGAGAGAGGCTGCGAGTTTCGTGACAGTGTATGCACAGCCCAACTCTCGTTTACAGGGATGTCTGGAGGTGTTAAGGTGAGTGTCTCTCTCTCTCGCCATGGGGAATGGTGGCTGGTATAAGCGAGGCAGTTGTAGTGGAAGGCTCTCTCGGGTGGGGGGCAGGGGTGTTGTTGGTCAATGTCAGGCTCTCTCTGCGGGGGGGGGGTGGTTGATGATTTTTGTGTTGCCTAGGACAGCACAAAACCTAAATACACCACTGCTCTGTGATCATTCACAGATTTCACATGTAG